ATTCCTATTCTGGTAGAATTGATATTCCAGGGAGGATAGAAAATAAGAAAGCTTTAAAAAGATGTGAGGAATATGGCGAGGAAAGTGGAGGTAACCAACTAGCAAATCCTATTGATTCTTTCTCCTATGTGTTGTAGTAGTTCAAGCTGAAAATAGATGGCAGCTGCAGTATAGCCACATTTGGGGTATACTTGGAAAATGTTGGGGGAGGAAGATCTTCCATATGGGCTGAGCTATTAATACATCAGGTCACTCACTCAGCGCAGCAGAAGTGGCCCATCAAGTAAGAATACATAGAAATTCCTGGGCAATGACTGAAGGCATTTTTAGTTAGGAGTCTAGAAGGAAAGGAACCAGAAAAGTGAGGAAATTTCTTAAGTAGAGGCATGTATGGACATACAGACACTTTGTGAAGGGTAAAGACTTCTGTATCACACATTTATATCCACTAGAAAGCACCCGTTAGGAGGGCTGAACAATTACATAGACAAAATGACTACCATTTGACATTAGCCAGCCTTTGTCACTGGCTACCCAGATCTTGCAAAAAAGAAACATGAACAAAGTGGTTACAGTGGCTGAAATGGAGGCTACAGATGGACTCAACAATATGGACTTTCACTTACCAGGACAGATGTAGCTACTGCCGCCTCCATTTACCAAGTTGAGACTAGTTACTACTGCCTCTGAATGTCCAACCTAGCTCAAAAGGAAGTACCTGTGGTTGGTTCATCCTCATAGACACAGATACCTGTTTCAGGTGTGGCTTTGCCTTTCCTGCCCATAGCCTCAGCTAGCAGCATTATCTGCAGCCTTGTGGAATACATAACACACAGGCATGGATCACTTATAACACAGCCTCTGAGCAGGGGGACCTACTGCATAGCAAAGGGTCACAGGCCCATGGGAATAGGCCTATCACATGGATCCATGGGTTATATCATACATCACATCATTCAGAAGCAGCCAGTCTCAAAGAAGCTGGAACAATCTTTCATAGGAACACATGAATCACAGCTCAGAGGCAGCATTCGGACTGGATCTGATGCCATTCTCAGGATGCAGCATATATTTAAATCAAAGACCTTCATACGGGGCTAAATCTCCAACAAAAACACATGAATTCAGGAATCAAGAGATTTGGAAAACAGGAGCAAGCAGCCCACGTAGCATCACTCCCAGTGATCCAATCAGAGTAAGGGATTTTACGCTTTCCATCTTTGCAACTCTGGGCTATGCAGTGTTGGAAGTTGTGCTCTTCAAACATCACACTCTTCCCAGGGGACATAGCAAGTATCACATTGAACAAGGCTGTAGATGTCACTGGGACCTTAATCAGCTGGAGAGGTGGTGCTGTATTCACACAATTAGAACTGGGAGAATATACATGGTGTCTAGGTGGTCTGCTTGGGGACATCCTAGTATCCCTTTCCTCCCAACTCCAGGCTCAATGATACATGCAGCGACTACTGTCTGAAAAGGGTCTAGTTATGATCACCAACAGTGTACAATACTCAGGAATGAAGGTTTGGGTCACACCACCAGGGAAGCCACCAAGCCTGCCGAGATGACAGCTGAGAGTGAGGGGAATTTAGAATGAATAGTAGGTTAGAGAGAGGATGAATACCTGTTGTGGACCTGAGAACAACTACAGCATCACAGGCTATAGTTTGACCTACTAACTTCTCTCTTCCAAATTTTCCCTTAGGAGGTTACACAAAAAGCCAATTTCACCACTACATAATATATCCACATACAAATCTGCTCTGTACCCCCTAAATCAATATAAATTTTAAAAAATAGAGTAAATGTTTCCCCAGGAAGAGAGGCCCACAGAAATCATGGAGGAGCTGTACCACAAATCTGCTTGAAGAAAAAAGATCTCTGCGGTGTAAGGGGTGGATTACAATGGCCATGAAAAATGCATTTTCCAGATCACTGTGCCCGGGCAGTTCCCAGCCAATAACCAGACACAGAGAGGGTATTAATGCAAGCCTATTCCTGAGAAAGGTGGAACTCCTTTAAGAGATTTTGAACCCACCACCTCCGGCATATGGGACTGGCACCCTACTCCTTTGAGCCACAGGTGCCACCCCTTTTAAGAGATTTTGGATCATGAATTCCCCCTTACCCTGACCAAAACTTTCTTAGAATGTCATTTTAGTCTGAGACCTTTCCTGCCTACTCCTCTTTCATGCCTCACCTTCACAGGTGTCAGACTTTTATTGCAGTCTGAAGGTTCTCTCTGCCTTCTTCTGCTCATTCCTTTATCCTTCACAAGGTATCTTCCACAACAAACTTCTGAAACAGAAAATCTCATTTGGGTATGTCAAAGATATCTATATTGATTGACAAATTTTAAAAATTCAGGCCAGGCACAGTGGCTCACACCTGTAATCCTAGCATTCTGGGAGGCCCACACAGGAGGATCACTTGGGCCTAGAAGTTCAAGACCAGCTTGAGCAAAATCAAGACTCCCCATCTCTACATTAACAAGGCGTGATGGTGTCTGCCTGTAGTCCCAGCAACTTGAGAGGCTGAGGCAAGGTAATCACATCAGCCCAGAAGTTTGAGGTTAATAGTGAGGTCTGATGACATAACTGTACTCTAGCCCAGGCAGTAGAGTGAGACCACCTCAAAAAAAGAAGACAAAATCAGCAATTTAAGAAGAATGAATTACTGATAAACCTCAAAAACATTAAGAAAGCCAGGAGCAAAAGAATATATTCTATATGATTCTATTTATATAGAATTCTAGAAAAGGCTAATCTTACTAGTAGTGATAGAAAACTCTTTGGTGATCACCTGGAGCTGGGGGGACTGACTACAAAGGGGCACAGAGGAATTTGGGGGTTGATAAAAAATGTTCTTGATTTTGATTAAGGTGGCGGTTACTTATGTACATGCATACCTTTGTCAAAATTAATTGAACTATACACTTAAAAAATGATTATGCATTTTATTGTACATAAATTATAAATTATGCCCTAATAAAGCTGATAGAAAAAAAAAAGATTTTCAACTTGGAAGAAACGTGGGTCAAAATATTCTGCTTCATGCAGGCTGCAATCTTTTCTTACCTAGATTTTACAATATCCTTCTTACTGTATTCCCTTAAGGGAATCAAGCTTCCTTCTAATCTGTTTTTACTCTGCAGCCAGTGATGTATTTAAAAGAAAATATGGTTATGTCATTCCAAATAACCCTCATTCTTCACCTTTTCAGTCAGGGTTGAATCAAAGAAACAGAACCACTAAAACATACTTAGTGAGAACTAGTTAAACGGTGTCTATAATGCTATTACGTTCACTGACATCTTCTGATGCTGGAGTTTGAAGTCCACAAGGCAGGCTGTTGGAAGAGAAGATGGATGTACAGTTCCAAAATAAGACAGAACCCATAAACACAAGAAACCTGTCAGTTCTTATCACCTCTGACTTTGATGGTATAGAGAAGACGCTGGGCCTTCCATTATCATGGAACTAAACACATACTTACCTAATCTAAAAGTCAGAGAAACTAAAGGATGACCCAGGGTAAGGTGAAGCAGTTGCAGGCTCAGCCACTACCTCACAGCAAGGGGAGCCAATAGGCAAGCAACATGTATGAGTTACAAAATAGCCAATTCACTTTCATCCTCCAAATCTCCCACAGGAATCTCTTATGGACCACCCTTACCGAGCATACACAGTAAAGGGGATCCTGGGAAATGTAGTTCAGCCTACCAAATTGATCCATTACAAAGCCATCCTAAACCTTAAGTGCTTTCCATTATCTTTACTGCCTTAACAAAACCCTGTTCATCGCTGAAGAACGTATTTATCCCCTTATTCACTCCACCCCATTGCTATATAAACTTCTGTTACCACATAAACTTCTGCCTTACTTTGAGAGTCACCCAGAAAGCAGAGTCTGAAAAAGGTGGTTTGTTTGGGAGGTAATTCCTGCAGGAAGTGTGGGGAGGGTTAGGAAAGGGTTGGAAAAGCAAGTAAAGGGGGGAAAGCGACTAAAGGGGTGTGACTTAATGCTGTGGGCAACTGGAACTCTGTATCTCTGCAAATCCTGAGGTCCTATATAGAACCCTCTGAAGGAGGGTGAGGTCCTTACCCCCCAACTGCCATCCTCGTTGCTTGAGTGTCACCTTTGAGGCACTTGTCCTCCTCCCTCTCCCAATAGTTCCAGCCTGCTACAGATGAACGAGATCCCTTGGCCTCAGAGAAAGCCCAAAGGCAGAAAAGTAGAGGGACCACCGGCACTTGTAGTTGTATGTTGGGAGAACATAAGATACTACCAAAGCTGCCATGAAGTAGAGTAGGGTTGAGAGGATGTGGCCTGAGTCACCAATAACTTCTCCTCTACTTCCCAAAGACTTTTACCTCCATTATCTCTAGATGCCAACATAAATACAAAAGAATAAGAATGCCAAACCAATTTCACTTTCTTTCTTTCAGAGTACTGACGAGTTGGGAGTTTAGGAAAATTTCATTAACTTACTGAATTACAGTATGGATAATACAAAGAAATGAGAGCTAGATAAGTAATGGGTCTACAGATGAACTGCTAACAGATACACTCAAAGAATACTGATCAATGATGCAAACTCCCAGTTATACTGTATTTCTTCCTTCATAGGAAGGGGAACACCTGGAGCTGCACACTGCAGCAGCCCTAGACAGCACAGAGTAGCTACTCACTAAATGCCCATGAAAGGGACAAGAGTAGGTGAAAGATCGTAGACGTTGTTTGACCTGGAGTATCAGGAAAACACAGGTAAGTGGTTCTAATGTGGAAGTTATTTTGTTCCCCCAGAACATATGTGGTAACGTCTAGGAAGATTTTTGTTTGTCACACCTGGAGAAAGGGGTGCTATGAGAATCTAGTAGGAAGAGACCAGGATGCTATTAAACATTCTATGATGCAATCTCCCTTTCCCCAACAAAGAATTATCCTACCCAAAATAACAAAGTGCCAAGATTGAGAAACCATGATATAAAAGATACAACATTTAAAAAATCAATCTATTTAATCACAAATGGTTTGTCCTACATGCCAGCAATACAAAGTGTTGCATTAGTACCTCCAAAGCCAAAGGAATTGGTGAGTCCAATACATCTTTTCGCGGTTTTCCATTCCTGTGCCTTTAGTGGAACATAATTGAGATCAAATTCTGGTTCTGTACAATCCAGGTTTAAAGTAGGTGGTAGTTTTTGATAATAACAAGCTAGTGTGGTAAAAGCTGCCTCGACTGCCCCGGCAGCTCCCAGCAAATGTCCTGTGGCTCCCTTTGTTGAAGAAATAGCAAGAGCATACGCATGGTCTCTGAAGAGACGTTTGATAGCTTTGTTTTCCGCAGCATCTCCCAATGGTGTGGAAGTTGCATGTGCATTGATGTAAGATATCTCTTCAGGTTGTACACCTGCATCTTTTACAGCAGCAGCCATACATCTAATAAAATAAGAAAAAAAATTATGAGGACTGAGTTTAATTTTAACAGAGATTCTTTTTCTGTATGGCATATGCAAAAGAAATACAGGCATCCTAGTATATTAGAAAAAGAATTCTCTGCTCTCCTAACAGAAATCCATCTTGAAGTACCATGTCAGTTAGAATACTATCTACATGGAAATTATGAGTTATACATTGGACTGATTCATCCCCATGAGTTAAATCCACAACGTATAATTATATAACCTCTAATAAAATATAATTCTATTTATTTGAATTGGCATGTTTCTATGTTGACTCACCTAGGATAATTTTTCTTCTTGGGATTTTTTATAAATATGGCAACTTTTTGTGAGCATTATAACTATGTTTTAATTTTTTCTTTTACATTTAAATGTAAAACTTAGCATATTTCTCAATAATCTACTACATCAACAGTTCAAATAACCTTTCAAAATCTTCTAGGCTATAAGAATTCTAAATGGGCCAGGCGCAGGGGCTCATGCCTGTCATGCTAGCACTCTAGAAAGCTGAAGCAGGAGAATCATTTGAGCTCGGGAGTTCTAGACTAGCCTAAGCAGCAGAGCAAGACCCCCATCTCTACTAAAAATAAAAAAAATTAACTGGGCATTGTGGCAGATGCCTGTAGTCCCAGCTACTCAGAAGGCTGAGGCATCACTTGGATCCAGGAGTTTCAGGTTGATGTGAGCTAGGGTGATGCCATGGCATTCTAGCCTGGGAAACAGAGTGAGAGTCTGTCTCAAAAAAAATAATAACAGGGCACAGTGGCTTATGCCTGTCATCCGAGCACTCTGGGAGGTCCAAGCAAATGGTTGTTTCAAACTCCAAAGGCTGGTCTCAAACTCTCAAGCTCGGGAGTTTGAGACCAGCCTGAACAAGAGTGATACCCTGTCTCTACTAAAAATGGAAAAATTAGCTGGGCATAGTGGAGCATGCCTTTAGTCCGAGCTACTCAGGAGACTGAGGCATGAGGACTGCTCAAGTCAAAGAGTTTGAAGTAGCTGTGAGCTATGATGCCACCACACTCTACTCAAAGTGAAACTTTGTCTCAAAAAATAAACAATAAAAATTTAAAAACCTAAATAATTATGAAGCTTAGCCAAAAAAAAAAAAACAACAAATCTAAAACTAAAAAATTTCTCTGGAAAAACTTTTGAACACCTTTTAGATGTCAAAAATCTTCTTTTTAGTTCCGAAACATATCTATATCTACATCTATACAGATATAGATATGTTATTTTATTATTTTTTTTTGCAGTTTTTGGCCAGGGCTAGGTTTGAACCCACCACCTCCGGCATATGGGGTCAGCGTTCTACTCCTTGGAGCCACAGGCGCCACCCTAGATATTTCTTAATAGGCAGCTCAGAATTTAATTTAAAGTATGCTGAAAGGATTCTGTTAAATATTACTATTTCTTCATCTAGCTTGTTACTATGCTTGACATTTATAGCACCAGCAACTACTCACTAAAACTCAAAAGTATAATTTAGGGGTTGAAAAATCATGGCCCTGCTTTTTTAAACATTTTCATCAGAACACATAACATGCCCATTTATTTACATATTGTCTCTGACTGCCTTCACACTACAATGGCATAGCTGAATAGTTGCAACAGACTCTATGCCCACAAAGCCAAAAATATTTACTATTTGTCCCATTACAGAAAAGGTTTACTAACTCCTGGCTATTTCAACTGAGTAAGCACAGTATGATTTAAAAGACAAAGCTATTATCTAACACACTGACATATTATTATTTTTTTAAACACAGTACTTATCTCTTTTACAACTGAAAAACTGCTTTTCAAAGTGTGGCCCTTAGACCAGCAGCATCACCATCACCTGAAAGCTTATTAGAAACACAGACTCTCAAGTGCCACCCAAGACCTTCAGAGTCAGAGTCAGCGTTGTGAATAAGATCTCTGGGTAATTAAAGATTGAGAAGTGCTGATCTGAAAAGAACAGAACCCTGATGAAAAGCAGCAGACAGGAGACAAATACAAAAGGGTTGGCTTTACTCTCCCCATCTGATGAAGGGTCAAGAAGGAGGAAGACTTGGGAACGAGCACATTGATGGTTGTTAAACAGAAATGAAGGCATGAGAAGTTGCCAGAGACACATACGGTCTTCTTCACAATTGTACTGGCTTTAACTCAAATACAATTTTTATAAGGATATTCAAGTGTTTTCAAATATTTCAAATGTTTAAAGCAAAGAATTCAAAACCATATGGAGTTTAAAATAGAAAAACAAAGATACTGTGCAACAAGGCCTGATACTACAATTTTCCTTACTTTGGGACCCCAATAAAGTGTTTTATTTGAAGAAATATTTGGAAAGAAACAACCATTTTTTTACCTTAAAGCACCTTGTCCTTCAGGATCAGGGGCGGTTATATGACCAGCATCACCTGAGAGTCCATAGCCCAAAATTTCCGCATAGATTCTGGCCCCTCGTTGAACAGCATGTTCATGTTCTTCCAGCACCAGCATAGCTGCGCCTTCTCCCATTACAAAACCATCTCTCTTTGGATGAAAGGGTCGACATGCCAACTTAGGATCTGAGTTTGTGCTCAGAGCCCGGGCTCTGGAAAACCCAGCGAGAGATAAAGGGCTAATGCAAGAATCTGTACCTCCAGCCACCATCACATCAGCATCACCATGTGCTATAAATCTAAAAGAGTCCCCTACAGCATGAGCTCCTGTGGTACAGGCTGTGGAGACTGCATGATTGGGGCCCTTGAGTTTATATCGAATGCTGACCTGGCCTGCTGCCATATTGACCAGAATCTTAGGAACAAAGAATGGGCTAACTTTACTGTAACCTTTTGTCTGAAACATCAAAGCGGTTTCAGAAACAACTTCCAGAGGAATCATTCCCATGCCAATTGCAACACCTGTAGCCACCTGATCAGCTTCGGACTGAGGATGCCAGCCAGAATCTTTCAAGGCTAATTCTGAAGCAGCAATGGCCATAATGGTGGGAGAAGACATAGACTTGATATCTGATTTGGACACAAAGTTTTGTTCATTGAACTGACCTTCATCACAACCTCTTGGCACATAAGCAGCAACACTGCAAGGGATACTCTTATACTCTTCACCAACCACTGAAACAATTCCATTCTCTCCTTGGATAAGACGATCCCATACCAGCTGAGTTCCAACACCAAGAGGTGTCACTAAGCCAATTCCTGTAATAACAACCCGCCTATGCAATTTAGATGTTGGCACAGTTCCAAAAAATCTCCTTTTACTTCTTGTTAACTGCTGCCATAATCTTGAATATCGAAGAGGAGTGCTTGTAATTTTCAGGAAATTCTGCAAGCAGTTTGACAACATGGTTGAAATTCTGAGGATCAGAAACACATTCCTGTAACAGACCACAACACACTGAGAAGGTATCCTTAAGGGCCAAAAAAACGACATCTAAGATGTTCTTTTGGGTGCCTGATATGTACTGTTAATGAGCACAGGAAAATAATTGTTACATCATTTTAATTTCTATTTTATCATCAAACAACTTGTTCAGACTTAACTCCCTCTTCAGACTATAAGTACCCTCAGACACTGGAAGAAGTGAATTAGTCATTCAATTCACCAAAACAGATTTTTTTTCAGTATTACTAAGGCCTTATTTTAAATAGCATTTGCGGTGTCAGTGGCACAGAAGACTTATGTCAGGGCCTATTCTTTGAGGTGCAGTAAGTGGGCTTTATCAACCTTCAGTTTCTAGACATAACCAGCCTGTTTGCAAGGCCGCCCAGAACCAACAGCCTTAGCCCGATTGTTTGGACGCTCGGGCCGACAACAGACTGGGTCTAGGCTTGCGCCTGGGAGAAGAGGACAGATGTTTCCACTCTGCTAGACTTCTCCAATCGGGGCATCTGAGGAAGGAGAGTTAGGTCTAGCTGATCACTCCAAGGGCGAGAGGAAAGGGGTGTGGCCATTCCCTGCACTGCCTCCAAAGAAAGCATATCGAGAGGTAAAAAAATCAGGCCCCACATCCCAGTAATCCCCTCTCGAAAAAAGTCCCCGACCCAATTTGGCTGTGGAGGGACTGCACCCTGCTACCTGTACCAAGGCTGAACGCACAGCGACGGACCTCAGCGCTGACGCTTTCGAACGCACGCGCACGCATACGCACACGCACACACGCCCATGCGCGCTCGCACGCACACGTCACGCCCGAGCCGGCTTCAGCCGGTTGAGCGTTCCGGGTCACCTTGGCCGAGGTCAGACCGTGGGGGGCGGCGGCTGGGTGCGACTTTATCTTAGCAGAGACAACCCTGTCAGAACCTCAGTGATTCGCGGATAATCCTACACCTGCTAAAAACGCGATGAGATCGCATTTTCTCCTGTCAAAAGGACATTTCTCTTGGGCAGTGGTGTTGTCAGAGAAGGGACACCGTCGTAGTCTACTGGACTCCTGGAAAAGAACGAAGGAAATGACTGTAGCCTTAAAACGACTACTGTATTTCCAGAGTTATTTATAATAATGAGTAAAGTGCAACAAGAATGCCCAACATCAGGAAAAAGTGTGATTTTGTGACACATCCAAATGTCATGCAGCCACTTAATAATTTTAGGGGTGAATGTTAATGTGCAAAGATGTTGAGAATATTCATTAGGAGATACAGCCACCTACAAAACAGCATATATCTATTTTTTCAAAAATAATGTTTTAGACGTCTGCAAAGGCATACAATGTGATATTTCATTTTTTTTAACCTTATTTACTACCTTTACTACAATTCTTTTGTAATAGTAACAGTTTTTTTTGTGTGTGTGTGTGTTGTTTTTTGGGGGGTAGGGACTGGGGCTTAAAATTGGTCTCTAGATATCACACCCTAATGTGTGAAACAATGGAGGCATTTGTGTCTGAAAAATTCATTAACTCTACTTGCAACAGAGCTGGCCGTGACTCTATAAAGAGAGAATATGAATATAACATGCAAATATAAAAAAGTCAGTGAGGTATTTATTGCCCATCTGTTGTACACAGGCCTGGAGGCACTAGATGCGAGATGTCATGGTGTCTTCCATAAACTGCTGAGTATTGCAGTATGATCAATGTCAAACAAGGTGTGGAACTAAGCAAGGGTAAAAGCAGGTGTCAGATCACAGAAGCTTTGGGAATGATAATGAGGACTTTGGATTTGATACATGGACCACCCATATGTGATACCTGGGCTAATTTAGAGCAGAATATTCTTTTTACTAAATCTAAATTCCTATAGGAAATTCACGGTAAACTCTCTCATCCCCTTCACCAGTCTTCCCTACCCCTTTTTGTCTTCAACAGAGCCACTTCATTTAAGTTACAGACTGGCTCATGGCACTATTAGACTTTAGAATGTGGGCAAGGGGAGCCGTAGAAACCTTTTCACCAGGAGAATAACATAATCAGATGTGTACTTTAGAAAGTTCACCATTGCAGCAGTGTACAGGGTGGACTGAAAGGACGTGGGAAGGAACACAGGGAGAAAGAGTTAAAACTGGATGAAATGGGATAAGGCCCTGAACTAAGGCAATGGCAAGGAAGAGAGATGCAGGAGATGTTCAGACTGAAACATTGTTGGGATACTGTCCCTGATAGAATGGGGAGTGGGCTGTTCTTTCATGGCTAGAAAGTCTTTGGTCCCCTTTCCAACCTTAATCTAAGGATTCTATTCAAGTTCTCACTGGAACTACAGCTCATAGTGAGATTTTCCTTCCATAGTGAGAACTAGTAGTTCTCAAATTTTACTCTATCAAAATCATGAAACACAGGTTGCTCCCCCCAAACCTGTAAATCTGGGGCTTGAGAATTTGTCTTTTTGACAGGTTTCCTGGTGTTGCTGATGTTGCTAGTCTAACTACTTCTCTAAACTCATTATAATGTCTATGAAAGCAGGGACTTACCTCCTTAAAGGTTTCACAGTGCCTATAGCACAGTGCTTGGCATTTAGTAGTCACTTCGTAAATATTTGATGAATGACTTATGGAAAGAATGAATAAACACCCTTACATTTGCTCATTAGTATATGTGCTCTTTTTGTGCACTTCTTACAGGACATTTGCTTTTCAAATCTTCACAATAACTTTTGTTTCATCAAATAAAGGGCTATTTGTGCGTAAATTGCTATCATTAGATTTGTCTTCCCTACTAGATTAAAACTCTCTGATGCTATCTCAGACTGCTTTGCACACATCAGGCAATGAACAGTTCTTGGTTAGTCACTTAATACAATACTGAGTCATCACACCAATTCCTAAAAGGCTTCAAACTCCTTACTGATGATCTACATTGAGGTTAACTTTATATGTATGTATATATATATTTAAATATATATGCACATATATATTTTTAATATACATATACACATGTATAACAAAACTGATACTGGGAAAAATTCACTAGGTTATTTCTTTGTTGTTTCTTTTAAGAATAGTGCCATAATGTGTTGCTTCCAGAGATAATGTTCTTAATAAAGGTGGAATCCTGAAAAAATACTATTTATAACAAAAAAAATCAAAAGAATAGGAAGTTTAAAGCTGATACAAAACTAGGTCATCGTTTAATTATTTAAACTATTAATGAATGTAAAGAAATTAAGAGTAACTTCAACTTTCCTAAAGAAAACTGAAAATATTACTTCAACTTGACTTTCTTGGAAGAAGAAGAGACAAAAACTCTTATAATGAATTCCCTTAAATCCTTATAAAAGACTACAGTTATTCAAGAACTAAGAGATGTTAATAAAAGTGTTATCTAGATGGACTCAAATTTCAGGTGATTTTAAAAAACGAATTTCAAACGAATTTCAGGTGAATTTTAAAAACCGAAGTTCAATGAATTTCAGGTGATTTTAAAAAACGAATTTCAGGTGATTTTAAAAAACAAATTTCAAACGAATTTCAGGTGATTTCTATGATTTTGTGGACTATACATTATTATCACATTAATTTATCATATTAATTGTATGGCATTGGTTTTCACACTGTGGCTGCATGTTCGCCCACAAGAGTGTTTTTTGGTCATTATATCTGTAAAAGGGAAGGCTGAGCTGACATCATTCTGCCCCTCTGCATCCCCCCTGCTTGAATTTCAGAGCATTTCCACTTTGGTGTTTTGTATACAGACAGTCTTCCTAAGATTTTATTTGGAAAATCAGTGTTCTGTTGCTTTAAAGAAATCATAGGGCAGCACCTGTGGCTCAGTGGGTAAGGCACCGGCCCCATATACCGAGGGTGACAGGTTTGAACCCAGCCCCAGCCAAACTGCAACAACAATAAAAAAAATATATATAGCCAGGCGTTGTGGCAAGAGCCTGTAGGCCCTCCTACTCCGGAAGCTGAGGCAAGAGAATTGCCTAAGCCCAGGAGTTGGAGGTTGCTGTGAGCTGTGATGCCATAGCACCCTACCAAGGGTGATAAAGTGAGACTCTGTCTCTACAAAAAAAAAAAAATCATAAATGTCGTATGATATACAGGGTGGCCATAAAGTTCATGTGCAATTGCACACTATTGTAAATTGTACGTGAAATTCATGGCCACCCTATATAATATCTTTACATAAGGATAAATGTACCAGTGGAAAAAAGAAGCCCAAATTAAATGGGTTATAGTTTGTGGCAAAGACCATGAGCTATAATTCTAGCCCTGTCACTCTTCCATTCCATCCTGTAGTTGTAAGAGGCCCTGGCTAGCTAGGAACTACATTTCCCAGCCTCTCCCTTTTATCTAGAAGGGGCCTCTTTCTTGCTAACCATATGGTAGAGAAAATGCTGTATGGACTCCAATGGTTAAGTAGATGTGCCTCCCCTATTTTTTCCCAACCACTAACTAAATGCATAATCTCTGAGGGTCTACAGCAGGAGTTAGCAAACTACTGGCTAGGTAGTTAGCAAACTACAACCTACAGAAGGCTATCTATTTTTAAAAATAGAATTTCACTAGAACATAGCCACGCCCTTTCACTTTAAAGTATTACCTTTGGAGGTACAACTGCAGAGGCAGAGTTTAAATACCTGAGACAGACCCTATAGGCCCCTAATAAAACATTTACTTTCTGGCCCCTTACAGGAGACATTTGTGGACTCCTATTTTCAAGGAATGGAAGGAGCATGGGCCCACCGACTAATGACATCAATAATGCATTATTTAAACTGTTAGTAAGCCAGAAAGAAATTATTTTTGTGTTAAGCTATTGAAAATTTTAGTTACAAGTGCCAGGAACATACTAACTGTTGAGTACACTATTCTTCCAAGCTGGTCCAAAAACCTACCTGTTTCTTAATAACTTGGGTATAGCTGGCAGATGAATAATTATAGCAGAGAGCATAGCTCATGGTCTTGTTCAGAGATACTGAAAGAAAACTTCAAATTTTAAAAACAAACAGGAAATGAAACATCAATAACTTTTTAAGAGGTTACTTAGACAAAGCGTTTATCTTAAAAACAGAAGGTCAAGAAAAATAATGGGAAAGGAATTTCTGCAAAGGAAGCCATTGGTGAAGTATACTATCAAGGTCATGGTGAGGCAGAAGCTGCATTTAAAATATGATTCTTAGGGATGCATCTTCCGAGATAAGTAAACTACAGTGTCCACGTGATCTGTAAACCAAAAATCACAAAAATACCCTTATTATGTAGGATGCAAGTTTTTGTTCCCCTCCAATTCTATTCTATTTTGTTATTACTGTGTATTTGTTTTATGCTGGTCACCAGATGGTAATGTATTTCAACCTGTGGTTTAAAAAACACTTCTTTATAGAGGAATCATATTTTCTGCGCTGGGACTTAGATAAGAAAATTTCAGTCTTTTACCTAATTCTTAAAAGAAATAAGACATCATAAACCCAGAAGGGTTTACCACCACGGTTTTGTTTTTGAACGTGTGTCGTTCTTTCCTCCTGGGGTCTTTCATCTACACTTCTATCTAGAACACTCTGACAATCTGAGAAGGCTGGTTATCCGTGGGGACGGGAGAGCGGTGTAGACGGTTTCTCCACCTTAGTGGCAGGCTCAATTGAAGCTGACCCGGGACGCGGAGGAATCCGGGTTTTAAAGAGGCTCAGCCCTACACGTCCCGGCTCAGTGCCCGTGGGCCGCACCATCCCAATCCGCAGGCCGGTTCTCCCTCCCCCGCTCCTGCGCCAGGCCACCGCCCCCTACCCCGACCGAAGCCCCCCAACGCTTACAACCAAGCACCCTGCCGCCTCTGCTCTGCTCGCTCTCAGCGCACAGCCCTGCCGGGTAAAGGGGCCAGCGAACAGGCCCCGGCCCGCTGCTCCCGGCCGCCTTCCCAGCCCCTCCCGGCCGCAGCCCCCGCCCCGCCCGCCGGTTGCGGTGGCCGCGGCTCGCCCAGGCGCCTGCTCAGTGCGGGACGCGGCGCGCGGAGGGCGGCGACGGCCGCTGGCGCTCAAGCATGGCGGCAGCGGCGCTGGGCAGCTCCTCCGGCTCGGCGTCCCCGGCTGTGGCCGAGCTCTGCCAGAACACCCCTGAGACCTTCCTGGAGGCCTCCAAGCTGCTGCTCACCTACGCTGACAACATCCTCAGGTGCGAGGCCGTGGGGTTGGTCTGGGGAGCCGGGGCGAGCAGGCCGTGGCGTCTGCTCGGCCCGGGTCTGGGGGCGCCCGGCCCGGGCCCCAGAGGGCGGCGAGGCCCAGAGGGACCCGGGCCCGGACCTAGCTTCGGCGCAGCGTGCGACCCCGCCGGCCAGGGGCCTGGGACCCGGCTGGGTTCCACTGCTGCTCGAGGAGAGGAAGTTTGTTGGCAGTTGTGACTTGGCACCTGACCTGGTGTCGGGGTGCTGCTGGGCGTGAACTGGAGGTCCCAGCGATAGGGCAGGGCAGAGGGAAGGTGCGAACTTGGCCTCTTACCTCATTGTTCAACTGTCTTAAATGTCAGGACGTAAATCTTAACGGCGTTTCATTCCCATTGCCAGTGTCTCACTGAGCAGGGCTGGCTTGCATTTCCTCACGTTTATCAGAAGTTAGTTCCTGACAAAGTTACAGTTTCTTCTCATTTTGTGAATATCCTAATACTAAGGCACGATATTACTGACAAGGTGGGATTTTGAATTTTTAATGTTTGGGGGGTGGTGGTGTGCGTTTTTGTTGATAGAAACAGTTAACATAATATTTTATTAAAGTTATGTTTTTTCATGTTAATGTCTGGATTCTTCTATTTAACATGATCCTTTCAATAAGAATAAGTGATGGTATTGATAGGAGTAATTTGCTTCTTTTTCTCTTGAGCAAAAAGTATACTTCCAGAACGCTAAAAAAACCTTACAGATTTGGGGGATTGGGAGGAAAGTTTGATTATTCATTGTGAAGCTTCACCCTGCCCCCACCTCCCCACCCCCCGCAGTTCCTCGGATCAGACGATGTGGCTGTCTTGTCTTAAATGGAACCTGGGAACGGAGCTTCTGGTATTTTAGTGGTGGTATCTACTTCAAAGGCAGAGGACCTGTAATCTTAAGGAAACGTGTGGCCTTCCTGGTCGTTAAGTGTGGCCTTGAGTGAATCCAAATTCTACCTAACAAATGCTTTTATTAAAAGGGGTGCAGCAGAGAAAGATGAAGCTTTTCTTGCCTCCTTTGGTGCTTAGAAAAGAGTGGTCTTGAAATCAGAAGGCCCCTCACTCCTGCCAGGAACTCTTCTCCCTTCAAGGTTATATAGACTTCATGATCTATTCTTTAAGAGACATTGGTTACAAATGCAGTTTTTTAATTCGTGCCAATAATATTGTTGGTTTAGGTAACAGTAATGATTTTAAAAATAAAGTGAAGGGAAAAGTTTGAGCCCTTATTATGTGCCAGGTGTTATGAGGGATGCAGCATGTGGCCTGTTCATAGTTACAATTATGACCTGTGTGGGGACCACCTTCCTCCTCTGTGACACATTCTTAACTCCCCTTTTCTTCCTTGAGAGACCTTACAGCTTCTCGCTGTCCATGGAGGGCAGTGGACTCTCTGAATTAACTAATGAGCTGAGTTCTTCAGAGCCCATCAGCTGGGACTTCCCACCTGGAAAGCCATCAAGTTATTTAAACCCCACCATTCAGGAAAGAGAGATTGCCTTCTAATGAGGGCTCAGGTCTGCTTTCAGTACTGTGAAACTGCAAATGCTAAGATCTTGGTTGTGTTGAGGAAGAAAACCTTTACATGCAAATAATGACTTTTAGCTTCATAATCAACGTTACGTTTGTTTCCTAAACTCCTAAAAAAAACTTGGTATGCTGTCAATTCATGTTACGCTCTACTAATGGCTTGTGTTTCTGATCTTGAAGAGTTTTTGTCTAAAAAAGAAATTAGAGAAGTTTAGAACTCATGTAATTGGATGTTGTTTGAAAAAGTGCCCATTTTAGTATTTCTTAGGTAATAGTCTCCCTGTCCTTATTCTCTTGGAATTCAAACTCAGGCTGCAGCGGGAAGGTGGGAGGGAACTGATTACTCCCAAGTTCAGTTGTCTTGCTAACCTCTTAACAGAAAAGCTACAAATCCCTTCCTGGTCCTCAGCCATACAAAATTACATATCTCCTAGTATAACTTATTTTAAAGTAGAGAAAATTAAGGTTTTCTGTTTCTTTTGCTGTTTGGGAAAATCCACTAACGTTAGAGGTTGATATCCTTTGCCCCTTCTACAGGGTCCAATATACAGTTGACCCTTGAATAACACGGGTTTGAACTGGGCAGGTCCACTTACATGTAGTATGGGGAGTTTTTTCGGACCATATGCAAATGGAAAATATAGTATTCCCCAGAGGCCAGTTTTTCGTATAAAAGGGATCTAGAGAGTGAGTTCTCGGACTTGAGTATGCATGGGTTTAGGTATATGGGGTTTGGGGGGTTCTTGAAACTAACTCCCCATGTAAACTGAGAAGCAATTATAGTGTTTTTATAGAGTGAGTGCTGAAATGAGAATTTCATTTGCTTATTTGGTTTGTTTAAAACAGTGATACTTTTTGCTGTACACATTGAATCTCAAGTGAAAAATAATACTTTTGCTTAAGTTTTAAATTTCTTCTTTGGATGGTGCTTATCCTGTCCTCCAACTAGCAATCATAAATCATTACATATAAGGTATGTGGTAATTTGCATGAATATGATGCCATGACTTTGGACCTTTTACTTTTTTTTCAGTTCACTGGCTTCTAGATAAAGATGAGTTGTTTTCAATAATATCTACTTTCTCAGAGCTCTGTAATAGTTTCACTGACATTCCACAGGGATTCTTTAGTTACTATGCTTCATTGGTTCCTTAAAAGGTATATTTGATTTTGTACTAATTTCCTTTACTAAACTGTACACAGTTACTAATTACTAGCAGTGCTGGGTGTGATTGGAAAGAATGGAAAATGTTCTTTATATTTAAAGAACATAAATATATCTGAGAGAAAGGAACAAGTATGGAAAACAGTTAACAGCATAAAATCTAGAGAGCAATTTCAAGGTGATGTTTAAGGACTTAAGTATTTGTGTGAGGAGCTAGTAGGGGACAATTTTGAGAATATAAATTATATGGTAGGGCTGGTTGATGGAGTAACAGAGGACATACATCTGACATGATAAACGAAAGCAACTGTAGCTTCTGGAGTCAAAGAGAAGTATAATGAAAGAGTTTCATATAGAATAATAATGTGAGACTCAAGGCATTGATTCTAGTTGTGAAGTTCTTGCATGGTTATAAAAGTAAATGGGGATTGACTAGAGATAGAACTTATAGGCAGAGACTGGTAGTTCTCAATCACTGAATACATGGAGTGGAACTGGGAATGGAGGAAGACAAAATAGTCAAAAGTAGCTTTAGACTTCTACAGCACCATTGATACCTGGAGAAATTGAGGGTGGGTAGTTAATTGAGGATTGGTCAGTTTGTGTGGTAGGGAGCATGTAGGTTTTATAACCACACATGTTTTGTGTTAAACTAGATTAAGTGTACAGGTTTTGCTTGTCAGCAATAGAGAATAGTAGAGTTAGAGCCAGAGATGGTTCACGTAATGGTTATTAAGGCACATAGATGTTTCTGAAAAATTTAGGGATATCTCAGAATTAACAGACTTTTAGGACTAGATATAAAATTTTAAATTATCTACAAACAAATTCAAGATTATGTTCTTGTTTACATTTCTGTGAACTCTTTCAGGGATTATCCATGCTAAACAGGACAAGGGCTAGTAAATGATCAGATATATTTAATTCCCAAAGTTTCTGAAATTCTGGAATGGGTAGTTTTCTTTTTTTTAATATGTTGCTATTGCCTACCGTTAATATGTCTTACAATCTTAGAAAGTGGTAGATGTAATATTTAAAGTGATAAGTGTGACTTTTTCCTACCATTAAAACCATAAGTACAAAGGGTAACTTTATGTAAGTTAAATATAGTCGAACCTTTATAGTTGGCTACCTCCCTAAATTGACCACCTCTTAAGTTGACCTCATTTTCACAGACCAGGTATGCACCGCATGTACTGTAGATCTGATTCCTTATGTTGACCAGTTTATTACAGTCCTTCATAGAGGTCATCTCAGAGAGATTCTACTATAATTTAATAACTATGGGTGTATGATGACTAGGAAGACACAAAAATATATTCAAAGTGGTGGTTGAGTGACATACAGGACATTTTGCTGCCTTTCTAAAAGCTCATTCTTTTAGCAGCATTGACAACTCAAATCCACAGCAAAAAATGCAAAATAATTGCTACCAAGTTATGTAAGTTACATAGTTACAGAAATAGTTAATGGACAGCAGAGATAGAAAAAATTACAGAAAAGCATTACAGCAAAAACTGCAAAAAGTCTGAAGAGAAAGTTAATAGAAGATGATGATCAAGGAAAAATGAAGTTGATCCTTTGGATTACTTTACACACTGAAGGATTTTGAGCGTGGTAATAAGCTCAAGGATAGTGTACACACTGGGATGATGCTGAAAAGTTAAGAGTTTAAGAAAATATTTGAATAGCACTTTTCCTAGAGTAGGAAACAGGATCTGATGGGTTTGAACTCTGATGGCCCTGCAGCCAAGTTCTCTAAGTCTTTCGGGGGTTCGGTGCAGACTTTTGATATTAGTCTATGCTCAAGATCTTGGCCTGTTTGTTCAACGTATTTAGTAATAGGATTTGGAGAACTGGACTTGATTCATTACATTCATTACTTTTAGTGAGGAAAACATACATGATATGTGAGATTGAGAAATGGTATAAAGAGAAAATGGACTCATTAAAAACTAAAGAGGGAAGCCAGGCATGGTGGCTCACACCTGTAATCCTACCACTCTGGGAGGCCAAGAATTCCTTGAGCTCAGAATTTCCAGACCAGGCTGAGCAAGAGTAAGATCCTGTCTGTACTAAAAATAAAAAAATTAACCAGGCATTGTGACAGGCACCTGTAGTCCCAGCTACTCAGGAAGCTAAGGCAGGAAGATTGCTTGAACCCAGGAGTTTGAAGTTGCTGTGAGCTAGGTTGATGCCATGGCACTCTAGCCTGGACAACAGAGTAAAACTATGTCTCAAAAAACAAACAAAACCCCCAGAAAAATCTAAACTATATATTAACATTTATATTGAAACAACATATAATGTATCAAAATATGCTATATTGGAAGTTTTGTAAGAGTTTTTTAAACAGTGGAGAAAGAGTTTTGTAAGAATTTTTAAACACTGGAGAAGAAACATTAAGAAATCAAGCAGAGAGAAACACTCTAAGCACGTAAAGATCTGAAATCTATTGGGGAAAAAATAGTTTAAAAACAGCTCAAGCAGTTCTGAACCAGTAGGTTATGTCATCCTGGTGGTACTTACATGTTTATCACCCAGTGAAACATGTTGAGTGTCATGAAAAGATGCCTCATTTATTTATAACTAGCTTTGATAAATGTAGGATTATAAGTTTATTTGTTTAAATGGTAGGAAAGAGAGGTGCACGTGTGACACAGTGTGACTTGGAAGGGCCAAACATTCTGCATTGCATAAGGAAGCCCTCACAACAAAGGCCACAAACGTGAATAATGCTCATGTTGAGAAACTCTTAGCTAATACACAGGATGAATGAGTAGGGCAAACATTTTTCTTTTTGTTTTTCAACTATCTATGATTCTCACATTACCTGTGGTGAGGAACAGTGCTTTTGTTTTTAATTCCCAGTCCTTTGTAGATTTATAACTTGTGTAAAACACAGTGAAAATTTCATGGCAATATCAGATTGCTGTAAAAATTACTGAACACTCTCAATGTCTGTACTTCCAATGGTTGGAGGATAGATAGCTAAGAATTTATAGATCAGCACCAATCTGTGGACCTTTAGAATAGCAGTCTTTTAGCTTTTGTCTCTGAATATTCTGCAGTAAACTTGTGTAATTTTTGAAATTAGGACAAAGACTTAAAAACATGGATTTTATATTTATGATGATTTAGCAATGGAATTATTTGATGGACAATATGCAAGACTCATTAAAACTTGCACAATTAAAAAAAA